CAAAAAAGATCATGACTTTGGAAGTCACAGCAAAGACAAATTCTCAGTCACCAAGACTGAAGTTGAGAGAGGAACATTCACGGTAAAGAATCTGGAGCCAGAAGATAAAGGCTTGTATTTCTGTGCTGTGAGAAAACACAGTGATACAAAAACATGTGAAAGCTGAGCAAAAACCTCTGAACTCTGTTCTCATCTGAACTTATCTGCTCTGCTGTCGGGGGACCTCAAATCCAACCACACGATGTCTGACAGTCATGTGACACTCCCATATCCAAGCCTTCACATCTGTGCTGTGATGTCAGAGCTCCCATCACACACACTGACAGCCACTGAGCTCTCTGATTCAGTCTTTACAACACAGTAATGATCCCAGCTGCTCTGATCAGACTCTCTGCTGCTCTGCTCTGTGTTGGAGGTACTTCATGTACACCAGTTCATGGTATTTTTATGGTTTTATCTTTTCAAATGCTGGAGTTTCTGTAACCTCATATGAATTTGACTCCTTCAGGTCTAGCTTATGGGAGTGATGTGACCCAGACTGGTCTGCTGTGGACGTATGAGGGTCAGTCTGCCACCATCAACTGCAGCCACACCAAGGGTGCTACATACGACCAGATGTACTGGTACCAACAGCTGCCAGGAGAGGGAATGAAGCAGATCGTTTATACCACTGCATACAGTGATCATCAATATGAAAGTGGTTTTGACAAGGACAAGTTTCCAGCAGAGAAGAAGAATGCTCAGACTGGATCTCTGACAGTAAAGAATCTTGAGCCTGAAGACAGCGGAGTGTATTTCTGCTCTGTGAGAGAACACAGTGATGCAGGTGATTTAAGGAGCAGCACAAAAACCCAGCTGCTGCTGTCACTGAGACCTGAATGTATGATTGTTTTAGAATCATCTACAGGGGGAGCTGTAAAAGCACCTAATGGCAGTAGAGGGCAGTGTTTCTCAACACATCTTAAAACTTCCTCAAGGTTCAGTACTGGGACCCCTTCTCTTTGCCATATACACCACCACTCTGGGCCAAATCATTCAATCACATGGTTTCTCACACCACTGATGACGACACCCAGCAATATCCGTCATTTCCACCTGATGACCACACGGTATCTGCACGCATATCAGACTATCTCTCTGACATACAAAAATGGATGAAAGCCCATCACCTCCAACTGAATATCTCAAAAACTGACTACTTGTTTTCCCAGCCAAACCAACCATACACCACATTATTCACATGCCGACTGGCTTCCTGTCTCTTACCCCATCAAACACAGCAAGAAACTTCATGATTGATGACCAGCTGACCTTTAAAGATCATGTTACCTCCTTTTCCCGTTCTTGTCGCTTCACACTACTAAGCATAAGAAAGACCGGCCATGCCTAACCCAACATGCTACCCAGCTCCTGGTGCAGTCTATGGTTATCTCCCTCCTTGACTATTTTAATGCACCCCTGATTGGTCTCCCATCCCGTACAGTAAAACCATTACAAATGATCCAGAACGATCCAGAACTTATTGTCATATTGATGATAACTGTAACATTGTGTCTACTTTGGAAGTCGATTTGGATGAAAATGAGCTGAGCAAAAACCTCTGAATTCTGTTCTCATCTGAACTTATCTGCTCTGCTGTCGGGGGACCTCCAATCCAACCACACAATGTCTGACAGTCATGTGACACT